GTGGCCTTTGGGATGAACCTAGAACGACAGAGCTCTGGCCTGCCTCTGTCTGGAATACTAAGGCAATTTTGGAGAGTATTGCTTTGAGCAAGTTCTGTGTGAGTTGGAGGAATGGCTGTGTGAGATGCCTTCAGCTGCAAGTAACAGAATCCTGACTCAAAATGGTTCCCACAATGAGGGGGTTTATTATCTCACAAGGCAGGAATGGAGGTAGGTCAAGTTCTGGATTGATTCAATGAGCAGCTTAGCAACCTTACCAAAGACCAGGTACAGAAGCGCTCTTAAGACACTTTCCTTCATTCCACGAGGCCAAGTATGATTCACCTCCCAAGATGTGGGGAAGGGCCTCACCACCCCACTGTAGTGATGGTTGTACAATTCTGTAAATATACTAAAAAACACTGAACTGTACACACTTTAAATCGGTGAATTATATAGAATGTGAATTTTATGTCAGCAAAGCTAGAAAAAGAATAGTCCAACTTGGATATCTTAGGGACTCTCTTCATTTGCCTTCCTCTCCTTCTTCCTTACCTGGCCTTCATTTATTTGAACATTTAAAAATATTTTTTTTTATTGATTTCAGAGAGGAAGGGAGAGAGAGATAGAAACATCAATGATGAGAGAGAAATCATTGATCAGCTGCCTTCTGCACATCCCCGGCTAGGGATCAAGCGGGCAACCTGGGTATGTGCCCTGACTGGGAATCGAACCGTGATCCGTGACCTCCTGCTTCATAAGTCAATGCTCAACCGCTGAGCCACACCGGTTGGGCTATTTGAATATTTTCCAGGACCTATTATATGCCTTTCCCCCATTTTAATCTAGCATTGTTGAATGTTCTACTAACCATGAATGCCCTTCAAGGAATGGGGGAAAGAAAAAGATTTTAAGGTCAGCCTAGAATAAATAGTGTATTTGCAAAGTGGTGTAATAATATTGCCCAATAAAATGAGATCAAAGGGTTTAATCAGGCCTAGAGGAGAAAAAGCTGAAAATCACAGACTCAAAGACCATGCCAAAAATCTGGACGAAAGCTGAAAATTTCAGCCCCATGCCTGGACATCTTATCTCTACGAGCAGGGCCTGGGCCATTCAGCGTGTGGCCTGTACTTTCATTTTCCTCTAACACAGCCTCTGAAAGGTCCTATGTAACTCAAGAACATCTAGTGTAGTTCTCATTGTCGAAAAAGGATAATGAGGATAAACTTCCCAAGGTCATGTGATTGCCTTTCTGGAGAACCAGTCTATTAGGGTTCTCCAGAACAACAGAACCAATAGAATATATATATTTGGCTCACTGGATTAGGGAGGCTAAGAATTCCTACAGTCTACTGTCTGTAAGCTGGAGACCCAGGAAAGTTGGTGATATAGTCTCAGTCTAAGTCCAAAGGCCTGAAAACCAGGAGAACTGATGGTATAAGTTCTAGTCCAAGTCCAAAGGCCTGAGAAAAAGGAATCCTGATGGCATCACTTCCAGTCTGAGGACAGGAGCAGACCTATGTCCCAACTCAAGTGGTCAGGCAGAGAGAGAATTCTCCCTTCCTCCACCTTTTTGTTCTATTCAGACCCTCAGTGGGTTGGATGTTGCCCACACACAGTGGAAAAGGCCATCTGCTTTACTAAGTCTAACAATTCAGATGTTAATTTTTTTTCTAGAAACACTCTCACAAGCACATCCAGAAATAATGTTTAGTGAGATATCTGGGCATCCTGTGGCCCAGTCAAGTTGACATATAAAATTAATCATCACAATCAGCTTTGCAGAAACAATACCTGGTGCTATTTTCATCAGGATGGTTCTAGCAGTCTTGAGTGAGGTGACAAGAACTGGAGGTTTGAAAGTCATCAGATTGATAAAAGTAGGCTTCTCAGCTTTCTTCTGAATATTAGGAGACATCTTGTGTGTGTGTGTGGTTTTTAAAGTTTTATTTATTTTATTTTTTTTAATATATTTTATTGATTTTTTACAGAGAGGAAGGGAGAGAGATAGAGAGTTAGAAACATCGATGAGCTGCCTCCTGCACATCTCCCACTGGGGATGTGCCCGCAGCCCAGGCACATGCCCTTGACCGGAATCGAACCTGGGACCTTTCAGTTCGCAAGCCGACGCTCTATCCACTGAGCCAAACCGGTTTCGGCTGTTTTTAAAGTTTTAAATTGATTTTTAAATATCCCATCTCACTACGATAGATCACAAAAAAGGGGCTGCAAATTCTTTCCACCTTGCATGCTGATCCTTTGCAAAGTGATTTTGCAGCTTATTCCATCAAGTGATATGGAGTCTTATTTTCCCACCCCTCAAACCTGGTCTTGGTCATAAGTCTTGCTTTGACTTAATGTGACATTAAAAAATGGGACACAAGAACAGACTTGAACAGTGTCGGTGCCTTGGGGTTTGTCTTCTTTTGCTGCCCTTGGGAAACCTGGTGACCACCACCATGTGAACATGCCTAGGCTAGTCTGATGTCTGATTAGAGACATGTGGCCATGATGTCTTTATTTATCATCCCCAGCTGATAGGGAGACAATTGCTACCCGTGACAGTAGGCCATCCTGGACCATTCTATCCCAGTTGAGCCAGCCCAGAATGGAAGAATTGTTCAACCAACCACAGAATTTTAAGATAAAATAACGTTTGTTGTTTAAGTTTGTTAAGCCACTATGTTGGGGGGTGGGGGGAGGTTGTTACACAGCAAATGCTAACCAATACACAAACATTCAGGATGTTCTTAAAAAGGCTTATATAACTTAAAAAAAAAAAAGTTCAAGTATCAGGATTCCTGAGTCATTTTCAGGAAACCGGAAGCCTAGCATTTGCTTCCTGTTATGTCAGTGGTTCTCAACCTTCCTAATGCCACAACCCTTTAATACAGTTCCTCATGTTGTGGTGACCCCCAATTTCATTGTTAAAAATTGAACATAATTAAAACATAGTGATTAATCACAAAAACAATATGTAATTATACATGTGTTTTCCGATGGTCTTAGGCGACCCCTGTGAAAAGGTCTTTCGACCCCCAAAGGAGTCGCAACCCACAGGTTGAGAACCGATGTGCTATGTGAAGACTTGCCCTGTATTGATCCGCTGAGGACAGAAATGAACCACATGTGCAATAGAAGAAAACCCTGATTAAAGGAGAGTGAAACCAATTCTCATAGGGCCTCAGCTGTAACCTCCTGTAAGCCTGCAGGAGGCTAGTGACTAAAAGTAGTTCTCCAGAAGGACCCTCATGGCTTCTTGGCTCCAGTGTCTCCTGATGAACTACAATGGACATTTTCCCAACTGCCTACAAAGCCACATCACAAGCTATTCACCGAAAGAGAGCTAAACTTTATCCAGGGGTGAATGCAAACCCTGCCCAAACCACCTGTGAGTGAACATGGGTAAGGAAGGCTAGTTGTCCAACTGTCCCCCTCACTGCCTGGAAATGCTGGGGTCATTAGGGGGTGACCTGGATGTTGGCCCTATCATGGGGGCCCGTGGCTGGTAGCAATGAGCAGGTATGAATAGGAAGCATATGCATTTCAGGCTCAAAGAAGCAAACATGGATCAAGTGAAAGAATTAGTCTCTATCCAATCAAAGCAACTCAGGTTTGTTAAGTGTCCATTACGCACAGAGGGACTCTACATTGATGGGGGAGAGAAAAATCTGTTTCTGCAGCTCCTGTGTCTGACCAATATGGTATTTCAGGAGTAAACAATACAAATGTGGCAGAAAGGGATGCAGGCTGAAAAGTTCCTGAAACAGGCCTTTCTTCCTATTTATGTGACTTAGGGTTTTACTGCCCAGAGCTTGAGAGTGGCAGCTTGTGGTTGAATAAAACAAAATTAAAGTGGTGCAGGCAGTAATTGATCTGACTGTGGGAAACGAGGAAGGGCAGCATGTGGGGGAATTGGCAGGGAGTGACCTTGGGCAGAGCGCATGCCACTTCTCTGTTCTGGTGTTGCCATCTCTGGGGTGAGCGCCAAAAGAAACAATGCAAATAAAAGTGCTTTGTAAACCATGAAGTGCTATACAAATATGACTTATTCCTTCTGATGCCCTACCATTTTATTTTGTTATGTTTTTGGAAAAGGTATCATGTGTACATGGTAAAATAAATTTTCAAAAGTGAATTTTCCAGCAGTCCAAAGGTATACGATAAGTTTCCCTCCTTCCTAGTATCAGTTTTTATTATGTAAAAAAATAGAAACATATACACACATATTTATATATATTCACACATACTTCCCTTTGGTTTAACATGAATTGGTGTACAACATAAAAATATTCTGCACATTTATGTATGTTTCATTATTTTACTATAATTTTTTAAAATACATTTTTATTGGGGAGCGGAGGGTGGGCTAAAAAAAATAAAATAAAAAAAAATATTTTTATTGATTTTAGAGAGGAAGGGAGAGGGAGAGAAAGATAGAAACATCAATGATGAGAGAGAATCATTGATTGGCTGCCTCCTGCATGCCCTGCATTGAGGATCAAGCCTGCAACCTGGGAATCCACCACTGACCTCCTGGTTCATAGGTCAATGCTCACCGAGCCACACTGGCAAGGTCTTTCCCTTGCCCAGCTTTCTTGAGGTATAATTGACAAATAAAATTGTATGTATTTAAAGCGTACAATGTGATTTGATATTTGTAGACATTGTGAAATGACCACAATCCGGTAAATTAACACATCCATCCCCTCACATAGTTACCTTTTGAATTTTCTTAAACACAGGTTCTTAAAGATCCTTCCAGATCAGTGCAAAGATCTACCTCTTTCTCATTGAACAGCTGGGAACATTCTGTATTCCATTGCATTTGGGACACCCTACAAGGCATTTCACCGTCTCCTGCTGGAGTTCCTATTCTGTTTCAAACAACACTGTGATATTATCCTTGTACATTGTTTTCACCCTGTTGGGAAGGTGCTATTTCAGTGTTGATAGGCACTGCTAGCGTGTCCCCTGCAGATGGTGACTTTTATAATAGTAAGCTTCCTCTTTAATCTATGAGCAGGCAGTCATCGGTGGTGCCAGCTTACTAGAAGTTTGCATTTGATGAACCCAAGGTGAGAAGTTCCTTTTTCCCAGAGAGCAACCTTTCGCCTTTACTATTTCATGTAGCAAAGTGGCTTACAGCCCAGATGTTGGAGACAGACTGCCTGGGTTCAAATCCCAGCTCTAACATGCTCATACTGAGTATGACCTTGGGCAAAGTGACTTAACTGTCTGTCAGATAAAAAGACTAATCCCATCTACGTCATAGAGTTACTGCAGGGTTTCTCAATCACCCTCAGCACTGCTGATAGGTAGGGCTGGATGGCTCTCTGTTTGAGGGAGTGGGCAGTCCTGTGCACTGAAGCATCCCTAACCTCTACCCACAAGATGCCAGTGGCCTTTCCCTTTCAATTGTGACAACCATAAATGTCTCTAGACACTGCCGAATGGGCCCCTGGAGACGGGGGAGGCAAAATTCTCCCCTCCCACTGAGCATCAGTGGGTTACTATGAAGATTACATGCGTGAGTTATTATGTAAAAGGCACTTAGAACAGAGCTGGTACATAATAAATGCTATGTAAAGGCCTGCAGTTATTATCAGCATTATCTCTCCTGAGGCCTAAGGCTTACCTTACAGAAAATAAATAGTTTTGATAATATGGGGGCTTGAGCAAGACAAGGGAGCATTATTAAGCCCGTATCTGATTCCACTCCGGAACAAGAATCCAAGTCCCTATTCTAAGATCATAGGTCAGCAATGTCAGTATTAATTATAGTCTGATCCCTCCGGGGTTCCATGGTGGGGCTCCCGGTATCCTGTAGCACATTTAACAAGATCCCATGCTAATGGCCAGTTCAGCTGTCACGGGTGCTGCACACATCCGTTCCACATCCCTTCCCGAGTTCTCCAAATGGTGCATACTTCACATCTCTGGCTTTCCATGGATCTATGGCCCCTTGAAACAACTGGCTGCCCACAACAGTCACCCCCAAAAGGGGGCCAATGAAAACAAAAAGGGAGAAGAAGGAAGAACAAAAAGACTGAGTTTCTTTAAATTTCTGGCTCTCTGCAGCACAAGCATTTCCAATGAAAAATAAAGAATTCTTTCTTCTGTATCTATTTCAGCTGGCATCCCGCTTTTGCCTCGTGAATAATGTCACCACATCATTATTCTGTCCCTCAAGGTAAAACAAAATGAGCAACTTAACCACCAGAAGTGTGCTTGTGTGGAGGAAAGGGCTCATTTAAAAGCTTTTTCAAGTAATGTTGCTGTGTTCCCTCCTATTTTACCACACATCCTCAGGGTTTTTTTGAACCTATGGGAAAGTTGTTACTTTGCATACAAGGTGTATAAGTAATGCCTTTTAGAAGCAACCACCCTGACACACACACACACACACACACACACACTTTAAAAAGTTTTATTGCTTTTAGTCTTTTGGGATTCCTGGAGTGTCTACAAATAGATTAGCCTTTAAGAATTCCGAGTAACCATGGTTAGAAGAAACAACACTGGTTTAATTAGCCATGGTCCTATTTTTGAAATTACATCTGCTCTCTTTTCTTAAATGAGGCTTGGTCTTTGCAAAAAATTTAAGAGGATGGATTTTTGTAGATGGGGGGGCCAGGGCATGTTAGTTTTGATTTGAATTAATTTTCATGCTTTTGAAAGCGAAATCAAGAGTATTGAGTGAGTAATGTAGCATCATACATTAAACATGATCAAATGAAGAGCACTGAAGAGAAATGATTGCAGAGAAATGAATTGCTGGAAATACTGGATCATCAGATGCATGCTGCTGGGCAGAGTGATAGCAAATCATTTTTTGCATGGCTGTATCAGGTTTTTTTATCCCAAATCCTCAGACTTGATTAATCATTGAAGTGATGAAAATGAGAGGGCCATGTGGTTCACTCAAGGGTCATTGAGTTTCAGAAACCAAGTACATCATCCACAGGACTCGATTCCCAGGTTTGAAAGTCTTTATATGACTTCTCACTTGATACTATTTTTCAT